GACATTAGCTCGACCTAAGAAACACAGGAACACTTTACTGCTGTGTGAAGCCATGTTTCCTCAATGACTACGGCAACCAGCGAGGGGACAAACACGGAGAACTGCGAAGGGTTTCATCTAGAGTGTTTGTGTGTGTAGCGCCCCCTACAGGTCAAAGCAGGTGTGGAGATACAGCTCACTGCAGGGGCCTCAGATCTCCAGTGGTCCTGGAGATTTAAACAATTGACATTTATAAAATTTAGTTTTGCACATTTGAATTATAGAATCGAGAATATAAGGTCTTCCATCTCGTCCTCTATCTTATTTTGACAAGACATGAACAGTTTTGGGGTATAGTGGTGTTTTATTTATTTAGCGTATATGTTTAGTAAGATATTTATTGTTATTATTTTTTATTTATTTATTCTTTTGAAAGCCTTGGGTTAAGTTGTATAAACCCATCAGAGAAATTGTAGATATTTTATGATCAATTCAGTTATTTGTCTGTAATAATCAATTGATTTTTAGTTGAAAAGTCGTTTTTGTGTTGCCTTCATCCCAAAATATGAAGATTCAAATGGTTAATCAGTTTTACAAATTTGTTGCAGAAATAATTTTCTGTTCCTTCGTAGAGATGAACTACTATAATAAAACTCAGAGTCTGATGCATGATGGGATATCATCCAGGCTGAATACGTTAATGAAAAACATATAACAATCATTTGATTATATATAAAACATGTTCGTTGAAAGATGAATGGCAGCAGTCTCTTCTTCATCTGTATGTACAGTGGTGTATTCTCTCCATCCACGTGTGACCAGCTTCTCTCTGTCCGCCAGCTGCTGAGGGTTTGAAATCTGTGGTGCGTTCGCGTACCCTCGTAAAATATCCCTTACGCATCGCAAACAAACAGTGCCCTGTGGCGACAGCTTGCCACATGGAAATACACCCACAGTAAAGTAACAGTGAGGTTTAAGCAAGGTCTTGTTTTCAACTAGAACCGGTTTGAACAGGGTTGGGAGATGAAGTTTTTCTGCGCTGTTATTCTACTGATTGTCGTGCAGAGTTCACTACGTGAACTCACTATGTGGAGAAGCAGAGGGAACTTGTGTGTGGATATTTAAAGAAATGAACTATAGCCTATATCCTATAGAATAAAAGAGAAGGGTCTGCATGTGGGGTAAGTTTGCATGGCTGAGAAGTTTGTCATTTGTGTTGTTGTTTGCCAGCAGCTGTCATGTACAAAAACTTGCCAGCATGTAAAAAGTGTTGTTTACTCTTGTCAAGCACATGAATAGACACATAAACAACTTTCTTTGGTTACACACCCATGTGGTCCATGTTGTAACATTAACATGTTCAGACACAGTCAGAAAAAAACAACAACGCCAAGGTGAACAGCTGGATAAACCTGTTAGGGGGCCCTGTGCCTCTGACCTTTGGCCTGACTCCAGGTTTCTATTTATGACTTAACACAAGTTTATTTCAAATATAATATAAGATCTAAATATGTAGGTTGTGTCACATATAAGTAAATGTCCATTAACCAAAATAATTGTGATGTGGCATAGAAATAATTGGCATTATTTACCATATTGAATTTATTTTACATTATATATCATATTCAGAATGATCGATCAAATCAAATTTAACAGTATGTGTAGATATCCATACAAGGAATTTGACTCCATCTTAGCAATGCTCTCAGTGTCCTAGCACATAGAAATAAAAATAAACACCGCCCCCCCCCCAAAAAAAAAACTGAGCCAAAATAATTAAAGAAATAATAGATGTGATGGATATGAACATTTTATGATATAAATAACGTAACATTGTTCACAGTTTGCAGTAGAGTGATTTGCATTGATTTATTGGCCTGTTTGAAGAAATATATGCACATGACTTCATATTTTTAAATAACATTGAAAGAATGATTACATGTATCCATCCATCCATTCATCCACTCATCCACTTTTTCCCACGCGTCCTGAACGCATCACCCAGGCAGCGATGCTCCTCACAGACTCAGGATCTGCAGGCTGCAGCCGCTGTCTCCATGTTACCTGTGTTTCCCAGCGCTGCGAGATAATTCAAGTTTATTTGTGACTGTAAATGTTCTCACTGAAAGATAAGAAATAAGAGGGACTTGTTTTCTGGCCTCGGGGATTCTTGTATATTGTGTTTTTACCGCCGATAACAACTTGAGATGCGCATTTGGAGTTAAAGGTAAGATGTTTGACATTTGAGTTTGTTGTGTGATGTTCTGAGGTCTCAGCTGCAAACAGAAGCGCTTCATCGATGCAAATATTGACTTAACATCTGCTTGATGATGCAGCTTCATTAAACAGACTCTAACCTGCTCTTGCTTTGTTTTTTTTTTGGTTAAGTTCTGGAAAAAGAAGCCAGATGTTGTTAATTCATTTGAACCCAGATGCTGTCACGTAATTCGTGTGCCAAGGCACTGAGGTCGGTTCAGTTGAACGGAAAGTCACACAATCCTGTAACCGTAGAGTCCTGCCCCCTGCAGAGCAGCAGCCCGTGCTTGTGCCACTTCATTGTGAGAGCAGCTTTAAAGCTAGAAACTCTATCTACAAGAGGACAGCATTGCATGTGGCTGCTGTCATCATTTTCCCCACAGCTGAGGACAGACATGCACGGGGGCGGCTGCTGTCTACAATTAGTCCTCCCCTCTTGTCCCATGATGACCTTTTTCCGATCCATTTAGGCAACATCCGGCCACCTATCACATCCATCACTCTACCTGGCACAGGGAGCAACATACGTACCAATGATACACTTATAAATAAAACATACTGTCAGTCCCATAGGACTTAGGTAGCTTGAACCTGATATTTAAAACTGCCCCTCTGTCCAGACTAGTTTATATTACATAGAATATTTAAGGGTGTGTTCCTGATTTGCACCATTTGTACAATAAACCTATTCTACTGTATTCTGTATTAGAAGGTATATCTTAAATTAGTGAAGTAATCACCTGGAATCACAGACAATCCTTTAATCCTCAGACTGTAAATAATAATAATAATCAGGGAAACCAATAGTCCCCTCATGATTTCAATTCACTAGATCTGTATTTTTATTTGTGTCTGCACCAAATTTTGCAAACTCATAAATATCCCACTCTACCCTAAACACGTCTGACTTTTTTTTCATTAACATCCATGAATGTTTTTCGGTGAAATCAATGAAAATGTTGAAAAACATCCCAACTCGCAATGTTAAAGAGAGAGATAATACTGGATCCACACCACAATTTAATGGGTTCCTGAGAATGGAAATCAATTCAGTATGTTTTGTGAATTTTTTCTTACAATCACACAAACAAACCAACAAACAAATGGTCAGGCGTGAAAACATAACCTCCTTGGCTGAGGTAATTAAAAAGGATACGTAAAAGACAAACTCTTACAAACATTTATTAGTTTCATGGCTGCAACTATCCATGGCTTTAACCCATAAAAAAATGTTCAGCTTGATGAAGCTTCTGCGATGTCACATGTAACTATTAATAAACTGGCAAACATATACTGGATTATATTTCTTTGAATATTGTCAGAGCGCCTGCTGTGCATTCACTTTACATTCCCCAGATGGGACGGACATCAGGCAGGTTTTGACATCCATCAGGGACTATGTAACAGGATGTAGCTAGAAAATCCTCGGGTGGAAATGGACTTGTGTTGTTGACTTGTCGCTGCCACATTAGCTCAAGCATGATTCTGTTCTGGGAATATTATGTAGCTGTAGCCGTTTTTATTATGTTCACAGGTCACAGTGTAATAGCCCATAACATTTGCAGAAGTTCATAGAATGTCATTATGATTTCTTACTCACAAATGGCGATCCTTTTCTTTTCCCCCCTCCCACAGCTTCAAAAACACATCATGGTGCTGTGCACACTATCCATGAGCCAGAAGTAGGACTGTTATACAATGAAAAGCCATAATTGGCATCTGAGAGCAAAGAACAACAGGTCACTGATCCATGTAGAGGGTCATTTCCAAAGTATCATGCTGAAGGGAACCATCTTTAGTATTAGTCAGATTCTAATCTGATGACAGTTGTGGTGCAGTTTTATTTTTTCTGTTTTTTCTGCTTTGGTCCCAGATGTTTATGGACAAGCCCCAGAGTACAAATGTTTTCATTTTTCTGCGAGTCCAACACTTCCAGTAACACTGACCATGTCAAAACATTCAATTTTCAATTTCTTTTTTGCCTTGGAAATACATTTTGCCATAAAAAATAATCTTGAAAAAAAGTGAAGTGTGAAAACATAAAACAGCTAGAATTCTAATCTGTCCCACCACAGTTTCAGAATGAACTAAAATGTTTTTACACTTCTCATAATAACATAGGAGATCTCTAACTTGGTGTTTTGCTCCGTTGTTGAATTGTATATCTGTGTGCACTCATATCTGTAGTGTTATTTGCTACATGCTCGCTTGCACAATTGTCCATAAAGTTTTTACTGTCAGCGCAGACAGTCAGACCTCATATTTTAAGTTGCAGTTGTACACGTACCCGCAACTGGCATGCAATGCAGTTCTCTCTCTCACTTTAAAAAATTGGATTTGTTCATTTGGAATCTGTTACACATGAAAGCGATCTTCATTCCCCAGCTACCACCAGAGACTGAATTAATTGAATTCTGTAGGAAACGCTGAAAAGAAAATCTAAATTATTCCTGGATCCACCTATTTATTTAGATCTGCACCAAAAATGTAATGAGAGCTTCCTGGGGTCATTTCTCACCCCTCCACAAAATGTGCTTAATTGATTGCTTAATCCTGCTTACTAACTAACAAACAAACAAACAATGATGAAAACAAAAACTACTAGATAACTACTAGATAATGATTCATTATGGTGGTTCAGCAAACTAAACTTTGTTTCTATGTTGTGTGTTTTTTATGGCTGATTTTAAATTGTCACTGTTAGATGGGGAAGCTTGTTATCAATCTTAATCTCTCGTTGACTCATGTCACCTCTTTCCTGGCAGGTATAGACACACATGCAGCTTCGTGTCTGCAGCGGCTAGCTAGCCATGCCGAGCTCGGGGTTTAATCCTGCGGGGCTCTACCCTTCTTCCTAGGATCTTGGTCAGAACCTCCAGGACCGTCCAGGACTCTCAAGCCTCCCGTGACCATCTGTGACCTGGCAACATGGGGGAAAGGCGGGCACACTCCTTCCACATGACATGCCACGTGCAGCATGACTATGGCAGCAGGATGGGGAGCTCCTTCATAAGTTGCAGTCCCAATGGATATGCCAGCACCAGCCTCAGCTTGGAGCAGGAGATGGACGCTGACCTCGCAGCCTTGACGGGCACTTCTGCCGTACGGGCCCCTGAACCTGACAGAAGCCACTACTCTCCTGTTTCACTGGAACTGGACCCCACAGCGGTGAATAATGGATCAGGCATTTCCTGCTGTCCACCAGCAGACACAAAGGACCCAGCATTGCAGATGATACACGACCTGTCCTCGACCACCTCTATCCCGCCACCTCTGCCTCGTTCGAGCTGGCTGCATCATCACCAAAAGGATTTCCAGAGCCCGTACATCAAGACTAGCATGCAGGGGGATGTTTACAACTTCCTAGAGAGACCTGCTGGACTGAAATGCTTCCTCTACCACTTCCTTGTGTGAGTATCTGTCTGGTTCAGTGTGTAGTGATTTCAGTGCAGCTTCAGGTCAATTTGGGAGCAGGGCAGAATTAGCGGACAGGACGATAGAGGACCACAGAGGTTGACAAGATGGTGCTAAGAACATTGAGATGAATTTTTGTGAATTCACACAATTAGGAGCGCTCAGGGAGAACTATCTCTGTCAACACAATCGAAAAGAACTTCCAAAAGTTAAAAACCAAATTAAAAAAGAAACAAAAACCGTTTACGAGATCTGACTGTAGTAAAATAAGTACATCTAAACCCAATGAGGTCTAACTTTCATATCAGCGCTAAAGCTGTTAAACATTCAGCATAAAGACAAGTTGAGTATCTGTCTTAGGCGACACAGGCCAGCGTGGTGTCTCTTCCTCAGCTCCAGTCCCCCTCTTGTTAATTACATCTAGTGCAGCTCCTTCCAGTATTAGGTTCTGGTTCCCACTAAGTAAGGGAGAGGTGTGTGTGGCCTGTCGGCTGTCAGCCCTTGTTTTAGCTCAACAGAAGCAGGTCAATGCGATCTGGTCAACCACCCCTCTGGCCCTGATGAGCTCCGTCTCCTCTCTGGTCTTCCTTACTGTCAATAAATCATCCACCTCATGCATGAAACATGGGGCTGTCTTCTCGATACTGCTGACCTGACCTGCCCAGCAGCACTTGACCCACAGTTAAAACATAACCCACCTGAGTCATGTTATTAACCGCCTCTTAAGAACACTGTCTCTCCTTTGTTGGCGTTCAAATGTTTGGACTGTGTGTTTCAGAAAGCAGAATGATGAGAAGAAACTGTGCTGCAGTATAGTATAGTATATATTGTATGTTTTTGCAGAAGAAACCAGGTAATTTATGCAGCATGTTTCATTTTAATTTCATTCAAATATTCTAGAAAATTAGTTAGTAAGATAAAAAAATATATGGTGGAAAGATTAAATGATTTCATTTATGGGAAAAACAATTGTGCATTATAGCACTTTATCGTAGCTTTTGTTTTTTTAGATAAAAACGTCACGGCAGAGAATACCCCTGAACATGTGACTAAAGCATCTTTTATGATCTCTGAAGTGTCCCACAGTTGAGTCCCAGATGTCATAGTAAGCCGTGAGCACATGGATTTAGACCAGATTAGATGGAAATATGAACGATAATAATAGAAGTTCTGTCGAAAGGCCTCTGCTGAACTCTGTTTCCATTCAGCTGAATCACACATTGAGTCAAAGCAGAATTGTTGTGTTTCCATTGGTGACAGAATGAATACTACAAAATTCAGTGTTTTAAGGAATTATTTAGCTGTGCCTCAACCCTGCAGCCACAGTGGACTATAGCTCCACATTGTATTTGCCTGTAGTCTGGGCACAGTGAATATTCAATATTCAAGATTCAACAACTCTTTCGCAATTTCACCCTACATCAGCTGTAGCATTTCCCTGGAGTAAGTGCAATTGCAATAAATAAACCATTTCACAGTTTGAAAAACAATACCTGCACCCACATGTTGGTAAAAATCAGTGTCCAGTGCAGATATGGTGTAAAGTCAGTGAATTTAAGAATCAAGTGCAAATCAAACAGCAGCAGAGTCAGATCGAGCAGCTGAATGCAGGTTGTGTGTGCCTGTGTGTACGCTGCTGCTGCAGGTGTATTAATGCATTCTAAACTGCATCATTAATTATCTGAGAGGCACACGCCATATTCCATGTTGTGTCTAAGTAGACCTTAGACAGGGACAGTGCCGTAAATAATCAGAATACATGCATGCAAAAAAATCTGTAGGTCTATAAGCTCTGAAGAGTCCTGTTCCTGCAACATAGAAACACACTGACCCCCCTCTAGTGCTTTGGCCCAGTTGTATTCAACTGATTTAATGAATTAAATATGTCAGTCATTAAAATAGCAGTTATGCCCAACATGTTTCATCCCCATCTGTTTCATTTTTTTCTTGAAGAGCAGCAGAATGAGTGTCTCTCATTAAAATCCTACCTCTGACACTCACAGCTGATGGAAACAGAGATTATGTTTTTGTGCCTCACATTGCTGATCTAATCTGGTCCAGCAGTAATTGAGGCTCTAATGTTCTCCCATCACAGAGGAGGGAAAACCCGAGCCTTTCCTTCATTTAATATTAACCCCCTCTGACTGATCCCCGCTGACACTCCTTTAAGTAACTCTTACTTGTCGATTGCTGGTGGCCATCTCTTTTCCTGGCCTCTTTAGAGATTGGCAGGAGAGAAGAGACAAATAAAGGGCTGCACTCTTGACAGCCTTAATTGGCCTGGTCTGTATTAGGCTAGGGTAACACACACACACACACACACACACACAGACACACACTTTATCACAGGTCACTTTTGAGGACATCACATAGACTGGTGACCCTAACCCCTAAACCTTTAAAACCAGAGTTTACAAAGTGCTTTGACAAAAAGCAATAACACTTAAACTAACCTCAATTGATTCTTTACCCTATACCTGTGGCCTAAACCTATAACCTGCACTGACTTGAAAAATCAGCCTTTCTCACCTGAGAACTTTAGACTGCAATTAAACAAGCTGGAAGTTTGAAATCAACACTCCATTTGGCTCTTTCAGAGCATCTAATCAACAGGTGCCAGAACAGAATAACACCAGATCTACAGAATATGTATTTGACATATTACACATACTGTAATTGCATTAGATATAGACAGTATGTGTTGAACGCATCCTTTAAGTGGGCTTTGTCTGTACTAGTTA